CACTGTGCAGACATCTGATGGAATGAATGAATGTAAAACCAAAAGTGGATTGTACAGCTGCTAAGAATCAAAGATCACCTGACTACTCGGGAATACAATTCGTTGCTGCAGGGGTGACCTGGTTGGCTCAGACATGACAAAGCCTGAAACTATGAAAACAATGACCAAAAAAGTCTAGGAGCCTCAAACTGCCGATAAGGAAATCCAGCATGTTAATGTTTTAAAGCCTAAACCTTCCTACATGTGAGAGATGTAAATAAAGGGTAACCCTGAACCATGTTAGGTATCGCACAGAGGGCGTTTAAATGAAAGACTTGGGTCCACTGGTGTTGAGTTTGGAAAACACAAGAATGGAACACCTTGGTAACCCAGCGCTAATATCCCCAGGAAACAGCTAGCTCCCTCCCCTAGGGCTGGGAGACAAGAAAGGGAGACGGGGCATATCCGATACAAATGAAGAAGGTCAGGTGGGAGAACGCGAGTGCAAAGAAGTGCTAGAGAACAGAAGCTGGGCAAGTTCCGAGGACAGCCTGGTCCAACCTCACGCAAACAGAAGGCCAGCAGGGTGCGCCAGTGAGCACGGTGCCTCTACCCCAGGCAAGGGTTGAGGTATCCCAGCAGATGTGAAACATACAATGCCCAAGGATGGCCTCCAAGCACCACTCCACAGTGTGTGTGCAGAGGGAAAAAGCACTTTCTTTCCCACTGCAAAACTCAAGGGACCAAAAAAAGGGCTCAGCATCCCTTTAATTGCTAGCAGATTCAAAGCTACAAATAGGGCCAAGGTTCCCACACCCTCCAAGGGTGTGCAGTCAGACACTTCCAAGAGCCAGCAGAAGCTCAGAAACCCAGATTTCCTCACGAAGCTCTTAAATGGAACTAGAGGATGAAAATCTAACCCAGCCCAGAAACAGTTCAATATATGTAAACTGGGGAATCTGAGAGGGAATTATGTAGAGAAAAGCTGGCATTGTCAATACAGCGCAGCAGAGCACACACATCTGGCTGCCTTTTGTGTTTATAGTTCATATATCCAGACAATCTTTTTATGCAAATAATAAATGCATGGAAATAAGGTGCAATCTGCTTTTACATGACTGGGATATATTTTTCTTAGCAAATAATTTCCCTGGACTTAAAAGGATCAAAGAAAAGGAAAGGACTTCCCTGGCGCCGCACAACAAAACCCACGTGGCGCTGGGCAGGGACCAACTAACTGCCTCGAGGAAAACCAAGGACTAGAATGGAGGCAGGACTTATGGTTCCCACTCTGCTCCCAGGCTCCCTTCTTCACCCCCTCCATGGGGTGCCAGACTGGCCCTTGCAGGAGTCTCCACCACCAGGACTCAACAGAGGCAGCAGCTTCAACAGTTCCATGGTGAGCTGTTAGAAAGTCCTTTTCTTGGGAGGCTGACACGGGTGGATCACGAGGTCAGGAGATCAAGACCATTCTGGCTAACATGATGAAACTCTGTCTCTACTAAAAATACAAAAAATTAGCCAGGCATGGTGGCAGAAGCCTGTAGTCCCAGCTACTCTGGAGGCTGAGGCAGGAGAATCACTTGAACCCAGGAGAAGGAGGTTGCAATGAGCCAAGATGGCACCACTGCACTCCAGCCTGGGCAATAGAGAGAAACTCCGTTCCCCCACCCCCTAAAAAAAAAAATCCTTTACACCCAGCCACTGGGCCTCACACTTACCACCCACCAACCCTGCCACCATCCTCTGACCCCTATTTCTGATTCGAGTTCCCCTTGAGGTACTTGGAGGTAGCTCTCATATCCCTTCAGAGTCTTTTCTCCATGGAGGTAATCATGCACGTCTTCAACCTTTCTTCACTCTTTGGAGACACTCTTGCATGTCCACACACCTGGTGACCATGTAAGGGTCCCAGCACAATTCACAATTCACATGAGTGCAAAAGAGGTGGAGCCAGGGAGTGTGCAGGGCAAGTCTAGTTCCACACACGCCCTCCCTGCTGCTCCAGGTCAGGCATTCCCACCTGCGTGGAGGCGACTGAAACCACACCCTCTTTGCACCGTCCGGCCCAACCCCAGCCAGGAGCAGCTGATGCGGGTGGTAACAATGACAACTGGCATTTATGAAAAACCCGCTCTTGTCAGACCCTCCGACGTGCCTTTCAGTCCTCACAAACGTCAGAAGCCACAGGTACAAAGTTAACAGGGGAGGAGCCCCACGGGGAGCCTACTGCAACCAGCCTGCCTGGGGTCACGGAGCTAGGACGCCTGACCACAGCCAGGCTCAGGGATTCCATGTGTTTAAGCCTCGTTCCAGGAAAGGTCATTGAATAAATCGCTTTTCCTTCACGATGCTTTCCTGATTTGGGCATTGATTTGTTAAATTTAAAATATCATAACAAATAGCAAATCCAAGGAAAACTGCTTCGATGCTTGAAATAACAACAAACTGTCTGGAGAACAGCTATAAATGTGAGGCTCTAGGGAGCAGAGGGAGGCCTGAAAGGCGTGCCTTCTCACTCGGGGCCCCAACTGGCTGGCTGTGGGAGCCCTTCCAAGGGATGCGTCATGAGAACCCAGCTAATTATCCACGCAATTCACACACTGGGGTGGGGACCATCGCCAGGGGAAAGCCGAGGCTATCTCAAGACGGCAGCCAGACAGACAGGAGGCTGGGGAGACTTGCATGGGTGACCCTCTGCTTTAATAACTTGACCCCAAGCTTCCGGGGGGGGGGGGTCTCTGCTTAGAGGACCGCTGTCACAATGATCTGAGCTACAGGTGGTCACACACTGGGGAGTAGGGGGAGGCCTGGCTCGGAAGTCCTCTTGTCTTCCCACCCCTTCTCCTGTTCTGGCCCTCACAGGCAGCTCCTCTCCCCAGCCTCCCCCTGCACCCCGCAATTCCTCCCGTCTCAACTCCAGCACCTCTCTCTTTCGACCTCCCTGCCTCCAGCCCCCTCTCAGCTCTGCCTCCAAAAGGAAGTTCGGGCAGAGCCGTAGGAAAAGGGAAGCTACCACGGTTTCTGAAAACAACAATTCCCGCGGGCCAGGACGGTCACAAGGTCGGGGAGGAAGCGGCGCAGCTGATCGAATGCGAGTGGGACTAGCCCCCTGGGGTGGGGTGGGGGGGACCCTGGTTGTCTGCGGCAGCCGCTGGCGGGGCGGCCCCTCCGAAGAGGGAGGGAAGGGCTGCGTGGCACCCTCGCACTCAAAGAGCGGGGGCGCGCCCTCCGCGGGGAGAACTCTGGGGTGGCTGCTAGACCCGACGCGACTCCTGGCTTCGAACCCCGCAGTTAACTGCTCCCAGACGCTTTTCCAGAGCGCCCGCCGGCCGGCCCTTCCGAGGTACCCAGCAGGGAGCTGAGGCCTGGCCGACACTGGGAACGGCTCAGCACCCGGCGCCCCCGCCCTCCTCGGAAGTGACTAGTCCTCGGGACGGTGCGCCGCCCGCCCTGGCGGTCTCGACCCTTTCCCGACCCATTTCGCTCCTCCACCGGGGCCGCCCCCAAGCTCAGCAGGCCCCCGTACCCCTGCCCGCCGTCCAGGCACCCCTAGTCTGCGGGCAGGAGGGAGAAGTCGTAATCTCGGGTGAAGTCTCTTCCCCGCCTCCTCCGTGCACTTCCAGGCGGCCTCGGCCCCGCGCCCTCGGCTCCGCGCCCCCGGCCCCACACCTTGCCGCAGCGGCCCCCGCGCCAGCTCGGGCCGGTCTTCGGGGAAGGCGTCGCGCAGCCGCTGCCAGAGGCGGCCCAGGTCGGCGAGGCTGCGGTGCAGGTAGAGCACGCTGCGGTCCGACCACTCCGTGCGGATCTCGAAGAACTCCTCCTCGTCGCCGCGCCGGCTGACGATGAGCCTGCGAATGCCGTTCACCCAGCAGCCGCGCACGAACATGTTCACGAGAGACGTGCCCTCAAACACCGCCGAGGCCATGCCGCGCGCATGCCCCCGTCAAGGGCGCCCCGGCCCCGCCGCCCGCACGCCCGCTCGCTCGCTCGCTCGCCCGCAGGAGGCGCGCCCCGGTCGGGGTGGTCCCGGGTCGGGCCGGGGTAGGGATCGTCCGGGGCGTGTCCGGGGCCGGGGTCTGGGTCGTCCGGAGTCAGTCCGGCCGGAGTCGTCCCGGGTCGGTCCGGGGCCGGGGCCGGGGCCGGGGTCGTCCGGAGCGCGCCCGGGGCCGGGGTCGTCCGAGGTCGGCCCGGCACTCCAGGAGGCTGCGTGCGGCCCGCGCTCGGGGTGGCGCGGCGGCAAGTGGCTCGGGCCGGCCGGGCGCGGCTTTATAAGGCGCTTCCCATCGCGGGCGGCGCGGTCGTCGACGTCGAGGCCCGGCCGCGTCCGCCTCCCGCCCGCCTCCCGGGAAACGGGCGCCGCGGGCAGCACTGGAAGGGAAGAGGTCTGGCCGGCCGCGCCCCCGCCGCCTCCGCAGAGCCCTTGCTGCTGCGGCCGCGGGAACCCCCGGATCCGAGCCCCGAGCGCTCGCCCCCGCCTCGCGCTTAGCGGCCCCCGCGCCTCCTCCCTCGCAGCCCCGGAGCCGCAGGTCGGTGACTGGACCAGCCGGGAAGGGAGGCGGGGCGGGCCCTGCTGGCCAAGCTCTCGGCGCAGACTTTTTTCTCTTTCCGTTTCGCGATCCTGGGGACCTCCCAGGGCTGAGAGCTGCGCGCCCCACCCGGCCCGCGAGGGCATGGCAACTGCCCGGGGTCCGGAGGCGGGCCGCGAATGTCTGGGCGGGGGGCGCAGGCCCGGCCGAGCGCCGCCCCCACACGCCCCGAGGAGGGCCTGGGCTCCGGCCGGCCCTCGGTGTCCCTCGTCCCCGCGCCCCTTGGTGCCCCGCGTCCCCTCCTTGCCCCGCGTCCCTGCCCTGCGTCCTCCCGCGCATTCCGCTAGTGCCTTAGCCGCGCCAAGGCCCGGACTGCGGCCGGACAGACCGCTGGGCAGCCCTCGGAGAAGTGGGAAGAGAGGAGATAACAGTGGCAAAAAGAAGGTTTCCCGGGAAAGAGCTCCCTGGGGAGCCGGACGCCGTGGGTGCTCTTGAGGGGCCTCGGGAGTGGACCTGGGGAAACGGCCGGCCTTGAAAACGGACTCAGCTGCGCGTTACTGAGGCCGTTCCTACTGGGAAGAGACTTAATGGCGCTTGTTTAAGAATTACAAGCTCCAGAAATGACTCGAGTGACCTCACAGCGTGCAGGAAGGGGTGGGAGAGCCAGGGAGAGCCCCTCACCCCACCCCACCCCCATCCCCGCCCCCGCGGCGCTCTGAAAAGCCTTGAAAGCCCAGCGCAGCACCGAAATGTTGGAGGCCCAAGGCAGGTGGCCTGCCTCGAGTCACTCCCGACCCAGATGTCCCCCACCACCATGACCAGCTTTTGTTATGACTGTGCCAGTGACTTGCAGATAGCCTAGCTTCACAGTTCTTCACCTGGTCTGGGGCAGTGAACAGGTCAAGATGGAGAGCGCCAGGAGGGACTTTTCTTTGTCTGTATTCTTCCATACACTTGTTCATTAAATAAACGCATATGTTTCCTGTGTCATTTTGTATATGGAAACAGGGGCCGTGGGAACTGGAAGTACATAGCCAGTGCGCCAGCAGCACTTGACTCTAGGTGGTGGGGATAAGTGCTCTTGTAACGACGGGACTAGCCCAAATGGGCCTACTCTGTTTATAACAAAATGTTGAGCTACCCTACAGGTATAGCAGAGCCAAAAACTCTAAGTCACAAAGCCCTAGGCATGCACAATAGAAAAAGATTTGACCTATCAACACCCGGCACCAACTATTCCTCTCCTTGGAACGAAGAGACTGGGACATGACTGGAACCCGAAAATGCGAACTCTCAGAAGGGAAGGGTCTCTGGGCCCAGAAGATAGGGACTAAAATCCACCTCAACATACCTTACCATAAATGGCCAAATTTGAAGGCCTTCAAACAGACCCTGCCAAGCCAACATTCCTACGTCCTTTCCTTTGCCCTCTGCTTCATTAAAACTTACCCCAGACCCCAAATCAGGGAGAAAGATTTGAACCTGCCTCCTTTCTCCTTGCCACCTGGTCTTGCAATAAAGCCTTTCTTTTCTCAAAAGCCAGTACCATGGTATTGGCTTCTGTGTACATCGGGCAGTGAGCCTGAGGCAGGAAAATAGGGTTGGGAGGCCGGGAACATAAGACCAATTCACACTTCAGCTATAACAGGAAAATATCCTCTCCAAAGGGCATACGCTGTAAAAGACTTAACTTTATCCTATCCATTTACATAGGGTGTAAGCGAAGTAACCAATGGAATCCTCTAGGGGGTATTTAAACTCCCCAAAATTCTGTAAGGGGGCCTTTGAGCCCCTATGCTCGGGCTGCTCCCACACTGTGGAGTGTATTTTCATTTTCAATCAATCTCTTTCATTCCTTCCTTGCTTTGTGTGTTTTGTTCAATTCTTTGTTCAAGTCTCTGAGAACCTGGACACCCTCCACCGGTGACAAGCCCATTTGCTTAATAAGGCTATTCATATTTTCTTCTCGGTATTTTTTTGTTACTTATTTTCTGAAAGTGCCAGGAAGAGGAGGGCAGGCAGGGGCCACCCCAAAATAGGCCACCCGTGGTATCATGGTGACTTCTAACCCCAGTCCCCAAGAATTTGAAAGTGGTGACGACCGTTACGAAGTGTTGGATTTAACTAAGTATGCAAGAAGACATCGCGGTAGAACTGAGTATTTGACCCCAGTTCGGGCCCTATGGTGTTACAGAAAAATACTCAGTAGCGCCGGGCGAGGTGGCTCACATCTGTAATCCTAGCACTTTGGGAGGCCGAGGTGGGTGGATCACGAAGTTAGGTGTTCGATACCAGCCTGACCAACATGGTGAAAGCCCATCTCTACTAAAAATACAAAAATTAGCTGGGTGTGTTGCTGCGAGCCTGTAATCCCAGCTACACTCAGGAGGCTGAGGCAGGATAATCGCTTGAACCTGGGAGGCAGAGGTTGCAGTGAGCCCAGATCATGCCACTGCACTCCAGCCTGGGCAACAGAAGGAGACTCCATCTCAAAAAAAAGAAAGAAAAATATTCAGTAGCTACCCAGATTGGAATGTGTGGTGTGAATGGCTGGTATGCAGAATTTTTGCTCCCAAAAAAGTTGGGAAGCTTGAAGCAACTGCAGTGACTTCCAGACTGACTGGAAGAAAATTAAAAAAGACATAAACAAAGCAAAAAGACCAAGAAATGAGCAAATAAAGCAGCACCTGAAATCAACCATACAACTGAAGGAGCAACAGAGTGGATTAAACAGAACATTGTGGTCTCCAGTGGATTTGTGGGAGGCTTTTTGCTAAGACTTGCATCTTAAGAACATGAATGGTCTACCATAGCAGACTCAGCTATGAGAAGTGGCGGCAACACAGCGTCCTCTCTCAATAGTACATGTTGCTGGGTCTCAGAAAAACAACTAGCTGGACACTACTGAACTCACAACTTAGGATTTTGCCATCTGGAGCCTGGCAAACTGGTATCTGCTGTAAAACAACTTACATGGTCGGTGAACAGTAGTATTTCTGAACAAAACGTGGCTTTTATCATTTGAAAAGTGCTTCTCTTTAGAAATTAGCCTATAAAGTATCATCATTGGTTGTAGATATGGAAAGATAAGAAATCTGCTGCATTTATTGCCCTGTGAAATATAAATCCCCTTTTTACTTAGATAAGATTTTATGGCCGGGCACGGTACTTTGGGAGGACAAGGTGGGTGGATCACCTGAGGTCAGGAGTTCAAGACCAGCCTGGCCAAAATGGTGAAACCCTGTCTCTACTAAAACTACAAAAAAACAACCCGAGCGTGGTGGAGGGTGCCTGTAATCCCAGCTACTCGGGAGGCTGAGGCACAAGAATCTCTTGAACCCAGAAGGCGAAGGTTGCAATGAGCCGAGGTTGTGCCACTGTACTCCAGCATGGGTGAAAGAGTGAGACCCTGTCTCAAATAAATAAATAAGATGTTCTTCATCATGCTTTACAGTATAATGCCAGTAATTTTAAAATTTGTTTTATAGGCAGGCGTGGGGGCTCACGCCTGTAATCCCAGCACTTTGGGAGGCCAAGGAGGGTGAATCACCTGAGGTTGGGAGTTCGAGACCAGCCTAACCAACTTGGAGAACCCCTGTCTCTACTAAAAATACAGAATTAGCCGGGCGTGGTGGCACATACCTGTGATCCCAGATACTCAGAAGGCTGAGGCAGGAGAATCACTTGAACCTGGGAGGCGAAGGTTGTGGTGAGCCAAGATCGAGCCATTGCTCTCCAGCCTGGGCAACAAGAGTGAAACTGTCTCAAAAAAAAAAAAAAAGAAAAGAAAATAGAAAATTTGTATTATAGCTTGAATATAAGGGCCGACTTCTTTAAAAAAAGATATGTTTGCAGTAAATTGAAGAACTCTAATGCCCCTTTGTGGAAGAAAGCTTTAGAAATGATATAATTCTTAAAGATATTAAGTAGACAAAAATGATTTCAAATAATGATGATGCTCAAAGAATCTCTGAAGTGAGTATTAAAACTTCTGACTGCTTCTAACTATTGGTCCTACCCAGCCACTGATTAAGTCCAATCGAGTAGTCTAAACTGCTCACTTGATGTGTCTTTTCCTCCATTTGCTTTTCCATGAAATGGGAATTTAAAACAAAAATGAAAAGCCCATGACTGTTGTGAGGACAAATAAAATGATATATGCCGAAAGGGTGCGGGGCCACCTTTGAGGACTTGTGTTATATAAACGTCAATAACAGATACAGAGGAGGCGGAGCGGTTTCGGGTTGTAAATCCAGCTGATTAGCTGGGAACGTTACATAATAGAATCTGCCAATGGAGAACAAAGAGGAGCTCTCAGGGTCACCCGCCCATCTTCCAAGCCTGGTTTACAATTACAAAGGTGTAGCCAAGGAGGAGCCCTGTTGTAGGTAAGAGCTTTGGAAACCAGATACTTCAATCCGATTAATACGAGAAGGTAATGAGAAGACTTTATGAAACTCTCAAGGCCTTTCTTCTGAGGGGTGTTGGGGTGTCCTGTTTATTTTCTTTGGTGGTGGTTTTGTTTGGATTTAGATTTTCTTTTATTAAGTTCTATCTGTTCTCCCTGGCCCTCAAAGTGAAGAGGAAGACAATGCAAAGGCAGGGAGGCATCCCTCCAGGTTTCCCTCTGTGACCCATTCATCTGGCAGCTGACAACACAATAGGCGGCCCCATGCTACCCGGAGTCTGAAAAATAAGATTAACTTCTAGAGCCAGAAGTGAGCAGTGAGTGTGGGATGGGAGAGGAGATGCTGGCCTGGGGTTCCCTAACCCCACAGGGTCCACTATATGTAACCCCCATTCCACCCCACCCAACCCCTGAAGGGAGAGCTAAAGAGGGTTTTGGTTTTTTTTAATCCCTATCTGTGTTTGCGAAGAGTTTGGAGCCTTATGTGATTGACAAGCTGTTCATAAAAGCGCCATGATTTGCATGTTCAGTTCTGCCTCACCGGTCAGTTGTTCTAGACACAGTAAGATAGTTCAGTGAACATCCCGCAAAACTGCAGCTCTTGGCCTCACACCTGTAATCCCAGCACTTTGGAAGGCTGAGGCAGGCGGATCACAAGGTCAAGAGATTGAGACCATCCTGGCCAACATGGGGAAACCCCATGTTTCACCAAACAGAAAATACAAAAATTAGCTGGGCATGGTGGCACACACCTGTAGGCCCGTAGTCCTGTAGTCCCAGCTACTTGGGAGGCTGAGGCAGGAGAATCGCTCGAACCCAGGAAGTGGAGATTGCAGTGAGCCAAGATCATGCCACTGCACTCCAGCCTGGTGACAGAGCGAGACTCTGGCTCAAAAAACAGCAAGAACAACAAAAACTGCAACTCTCCTGTTTCTTTTCAAAACCAAAGGAATGCGACCTCAGAATTGTGAATGTTTTCAGATACAGTAACCAAGTTGATCCTCACAACAGCCCAAGGGGGCAGGAAGAGATCCTGGTTCCTTAGCAATTGAGGAAACAAGCCTCCTCCAAGAGGGTCTGGAGAAGCCCCAGGTGGCAGGCTAGCCCTTCATGAAGACCCTGCTTGACCCAGCTCCTGCAGATTCACCTCCTGATCTGGCCAGGGTTCCAGCACACTGGTGTTCATGGTCTCCAAAGGCCCCGTGCCTTCCCGGGGGAGCTGCTCACAGGCCCTCAGCATGGAATGCCTCCTGCCCCTGCCCTGGACTGCTCATCCCTACTCTTGCTTTAGACCAGGGCTTTTCAAACCCTCCAGGGCCTGTGAATTTCCCAGGAACTTGTTACAAAGTAAATTCTGATTCAGGAGGCCTGGGCAGAGCCTGCTATTCTGCATTTCTGACAGGCTGCCAGAGCTCATGACAGTCTGCTGGCCATGCTGAACAGCAAGGCTGATCCTAGCATAGGCCTCGCTTGGTCTGGGATATGTCAAGAGACACTATTGTACCATCTCCTGGTGGCCTGCCTTGGTTCATAATAATAATGAGTGTTTGTTGTGTTTTCCTGCCTGAAGTGTAATCTCCATGAAGACAAGGACTAGAACTCACTCATTCCTATTTGTATTGACACTGCCTAGCACACTACCCGACACATGATAAATGCTCACTAAATAGCTATCAAATGGATAAGTGGATGAAAGACAAGAGCCAACACTGGTTTTCCCACAGGAACAATGCTGTCCCTTGATCTTGTGAAGGGCCAACAATGGGACATTGGGGAAAATTTCACAACCTATCAAGTCTAGGTTTTACTGGAGGCTCATTCATATCCCAGACCAGAACCATCTTAAAAGGAGTCAAACTAGTGTTCATGGTGATCATCTCTCAAGAGTGGGATTACTGACTTTTATTTTTCCTTGTGCATTTTTTTGTGTTTTCCAAATTTAACGCAATGAACAAGCACTAGTGCAGTAATTTGAAAGTTCGTCTAAGCAAATTATTGTTTGAATTATCTCCAAGGTCACTTCTCTTTTGTCACTGCAGTTGAACTATCTATGTGGCCACGGCCCATCACTCATACTCATCCTGTCTCTGTTCCTCAAATACAAAGAAAGGGGGGCTACAGATGATCACCGAGACTCTCCGCAGTGTGAATTCTCTATGAATCTTTTATCTGTGTATTCCTTCTCAGCCTAGCTATTCCAAAGCAGTCCCATCCTCATTCCTGACTATCTCATTTCTGCAAGTTTCTGCCAGTGTGAATTATGTTTCATGCTGCTGGCTTTCTAAGGATGGAATTTGTGACTCAAGGCCTAAGCTGCCACTGAGCTATTTGCTAAATTTAAGTTGCCATTTTTGAACACCCAGACTCCTAAGAATCGATGAAAACTCAAGATGATTAGCATTAGTCACAGCACTAAATAATCCTATGGATCGGGGGCAGAGTGGGGCGGGGCACTGGAGTTTTATGCTTTTCACATACTGGCATTCCAGTAAACATTCCTAAAATAAATACTTAAGCTGTGAGGTTATTCAGGAAACAGCCTATGGACAGTTTGTACCTCCTCCACAACCCACTGTATTTTCCCTAATGGTGTGAATGCATTCATAGGTTAAGTGATTTGACATTATTTTGGGAGTTGAAGCTAAACTATTTGTTTTACATTTATTAACTCATTGAGACATTCACTCAGCCTACCTTCTATAGGCTAGCATGAGCAGAGTTAGTGAGCCTGTTTGTGGAAATTATGTAGGAAAAATAAGGAAAGTTTGAAGTTCAAATCTGAAATATTTTGAAATCAACATTGACTTGAGACATAGTGACATAATGTTTGCCCATAATATTTATGCTGGCACTGTCTATTACATCACGACAAACATGGGAATCTCTTTATATGGTTAGATTAAATAAGAGATCATTGCTACACTTTATTCAGCATTTTCTTATATTCTGAATAAAAATAAAATTTCTGCGCCTGAACTTTGTTCTGATTCTGTTTTGAGCAGACATCAGTCTCCATATTAACCAGTAATATAAGCCGCAAACAAGTAATGTAACTTTTGAATTTTTACTACATGGATAGATAGAAACATAGATATAAATATGTACATACAGATGTGTCTTATTTGATTCCATAAAAGATTTAAGATGACTTGCCAAAATATACATACAATAAAAAACGCATAAATTAGGATTTAAAGCCTGGGAAAACGTAGAAGGCAAAAAGGAGCAGAGGAAAATTGGTCCACAGATAAGCAGGCCATCAAAGTCCATTCAGTTACTAAATGTGGGTTGCGAATGGCTTCCCTCTAATGCTTCAAAGTTAAACTCCGCAGCCTTAGCCTGACCTGCAAGGCTTCTACATGGCCTGTGCCTCACACTGTCCCCCCAGCCTTTCGTCGTATCCCTCACACTCCTGTATTCTCTAGTACATTTCTCGTAAATATGCCCTGCGGGTCCCTGGTATGTCTAGCGCTTTGTAGTCGCTGCTGCACCAGCCTGAAACTCTGCCCTGCGTCCTCCCAAATGGCTCCCTCCCTGATATCTGCTTGAATTCACCACCGACTCAGAGAGGCCCTTTTTGGCCACTCACCTGGAAGAGCTCACTCCGTCCTCTGCCCATCATTCTGTCTCAGTGTGTTTTGTGCTTCTTCGGAGTGTACAGCATGCAGATATTATGACCTGTCTCCTCACTAGCATGTAAATTCTGTGAGAGGAGGGCCCTCTCTGTTCTGTAGACTGCTGTGTCCTGAGAGCAGCAAATGGTGAAGGTTGTGTTCTCAGCCCAGGGGCAGTGCAGGTATCCTGTCTTCTTGGCTGAGGGTGTACCCACATGCTTTTTTTTCTGAAACGGAGTCTGGCTGGAGTGCAGTGGCATGATCTCGGCTTACTGCAACCCTCCCTGGGTTCAAGCAATTCTCCTGCCTCAGCCTCCCAAGTAGCTGGGACTATAGATGCCCACCACCAGGCCCAGCTAATTTTTGTGTTTTTAGTAGAGATGGGGTTTTACCATATTGGTCAGGCTGGTCTCGAACTCCTGACCTCAGGTGATCTGTCTGCCTCAGCCCCCTAAAGTGCTGGGATTACAGGTATGAGCCACCACACCCAGCCTCCACGTGCTTTTAAAAGTAGATCTGAGCACTGGGATTGTAGGATGGACATCTTTTCATGTAGAAATTCCTATCTGGGTCTGATAATCCTCACAACAACATCTGAGGAACCTCTTAAGTCTATTTGGTGATGAAATGAGGAGACTGCAATGGAAATTTCCAGCAGACTGGGAGCTCTCCTACCGCATGAACAGCGGAACATCAAGACCCCAGCCGCATCTGCCATAAAGTGCTCCGTGGTGATTTGGACCTGGGAAAATTTCAAAGTAACATTTGCTAATTGTTGGCTACATGGTTATATATACAGACGGTTCACCAACGTAGATTTCTAGTGATCCTGCCAGGTAATCTTTGTTATCAGATAAAATGCCCCCAAGTAACTGGTTTTAGGGGTGCATTTACCAATATGCTAATTTCAGTATTAGATTAGCCTCTCAAGTACTGCTTTCTGACGTCAGAGTGAAGACAACTGTCAATGAAGTCACTCTTAGTACATAAAAATGAAACTCTCTCATAAGCATAGAGAATAATTCTTAGACCACTGGGAAAACTTAAATATAAACAGGATGCAAATGATATCTCAGAAGTTTTGTTTCTTTTCTTTTCTTTTCTTTTTTTTTTTTTTGGAGACAGTGTTTCACCATGTTGGGCAGGCTGGTCTCAAACTCCTGACCTCAGGTGATCCGCCCGCCTCGGCCTCCCAAAGTGCTGGGCCCGGCCTTTGTTTATTTTAAGTGCAGTAAAAGTATTTTGCAATGGCAGTGTTCTTGTTTTAGGCTTTGCATGCTGAAGTACTCAGTAACAAAGTATTGTGATGTTAAAAACTGTCTTTCATCTGGCTTCACAATACATAAGTAAACCATTCAGTAGGTAAATCTAGGAAGCATATATAGCAAAACGTGAATAATTGCTGTATCTAAGAGAAAGGATTTAGGCCTTTATTATACTGTTCTATTAACTTTTCTGAATATTTGAAAAATTTTCAAAGAAAAGGTTGGAGAGAGAGGGTAATATTTACATTTCTACTCCTTTTAATATACAGATAATCTAAACATGGTTTCAAGGACCTGGTGTCTGCCTTGAGAAACCATTTATTTCTACTGACATTCTCTTTTTTTTGAGACAAGAGTCTCGCTCTGTTACCCAGGCTGGAGTGCAGTGGCATGATCTCGACTCACTGCAACCTCCGCCTCCCAGGTTCAAGCGTTTCTCCTGCCTCAGCCTTCCAAGTAGCTGGGATTACAGGTGCACAGCACCATAGCTGGAATTACAGATGTGCGGGACCACACCTGGCTAATTTTTGTATTTTTAGTAGAGACTGGTTTTTGCCATGTTGGTCAGGCTGGCGTTGAACTCCTGACCTCGTGATTCACCCGCCTCGGCCTCCCAAAGTGCTGGGATTACAGATGTGAGCCACCATGCCCAGCTTATTTCTACTGACATTCTCACAGTGACATTAAGGCTCAGATACTATTTAAGCATTCATGGCTATGATTTTTTTATCAAGCACATTAAAATTAGTCCCAAACTGGTTATTATTCACTGAGTCAAAGATCAAGAAAAAGAACCAAAATCAATCAACACTGTGTCTTGTATGTAGTACGAATTCATAGAGCCATGAACTTGTAATACAGCTTCATAGACGTATCCACAGGGTGATGACGAGTGAGGCAGCAGCTGTTTTTAAAGCCCCTTTATTCCTGAGAAGCCCTGGCTTGTCACACGCCACTCACCAAAACACACAACAGCCCCTCCCAGCAAATTAGGTCCAGAATATTGAATTTTACACCCGAATGCCCCCAGATAGATATTCAACTAAACTTTAGCAGCAACATTTAACATTCTCACTGATGAGGACTTTAGTGAAAAGGACTTTTGTGATCATTTAACTATAGTGAATGTTGGTTGTAAAATCATGAATGCCCGGCAGGGCGGAGATGTTGTCCTGACTGCATCTGCATGAGTAGCATCATGTAACAGAGAGACTTTCTAGACTGGTACCCAGTCATGCTTTTATTCTATGAGGGAGTAAAAAGGGGATTGAGATCCTTTAGTCTCATTCAAGGACTTGCAGAGGCGGTTTTGGATTGAGTCTACCTCATTTGGTATCTGCTCATATCTATGTGTCCAGCATTTTGTTCATTTTCTGCAGCCTCAATCTAATCACACGGTCATCCACTTAGGACTAGGTGAGCAAGAGCTCTTGGTTCAGAAAACCGAGGCTCAATGCCATTGTCCCTTACCTGATGGAGTAGACAGGCTCCTGGAAATATATGGTTTGACTAAATGTCTATATATTTATTTGAATGGACGTGAATTTGTAGCAGATGGCATATTTCACCACTTAGCTTCACCCACAAACAGGTGTGGACAGGTGGGTACTCTTGGAGGTCCTGGCCCAATGAGGACAGGTCAAGCAGCTTCTCACCACTTGCAATGCACAATTCACAGACATGGCTTGGCTTCCATGAGGTGGTGGTGTATGCTGGCTGCCATTCCGAAGTCCCTCGTGCCTGCCACCATGTTCCCGTCCACACCCTGCAGGTGACTTTAGGCTCTTCCTGTCCTCTCTTTCCAGGCAAACTTCTTGTCCCCTCCCTCTGTGGCCTTTCTGTTAGAATCTCAAGAGCATTACTCTGATATACAAGACAAGAAGTTTTCCCATACAGGATGGGAAACCCTGGTTTATTTCTCTTTGTGTCGCTGACACGATTTTAATTCTTCTTGAAGGCTAGTCTAAGTAACTGGGGGAAAGTTTACATCAAGATGATGTTTGAAGAGATCTTACTACAAGCCAAGAGAACATTAGAGTCCCACGTCACCCTCCTTTCTAAAACAAATAGTCACATCCTGATTCCCTTTTGGCTTTTTTGTGTATTTATATTTTCACCCAGGTTTGCTGAATACAGACAAGGGTATTTCAATGAAAGCCTCTATTTTACCCTTCTCTCCTTCTCTCTAGTTAGCCAGACTATTTGCTTCCAAGCGCAGCCCAAGTACTTACCTTAGGTGTCTGCACCTCCCAAATATTTTAGCTAATTGTCAAATTTCTGCTACTCATTGTCTTATGACTGCGTATACCTCATCCACGGGGCTTAAATTCTGCCCAAGCAAAAAGGGTTTGGTGAACTGAAACCAGAAAGAAGCTCAAGGCAATGGAACGAATGCCCAGGTCTTGATTCAAGGAGCAACTTTTACAGAATTACGTGCATTCGTAGCAGTTGTTAGGATGAATTGTTCTGACACTCATCCAGACAGAAAAATAATTGAAGTTTCTTTTCCAGGGTTCTCTAACTCAGACCACTCAAAACGACCTGACCTCGGTTAGCTGAGCAGAAGGTACAAGACCAAGATTTAAAAAATAAGTAAATACATGTATAAGGAGATACAGACTGCTTTCCAAAAACATCCAATTTAGGCCAATGAGTGAAGAAGAACTAAGAATAACTGGAACATTTGCTTTTTACTTATTTTACAAATAATTAAAATTACTTATAATGCTTATATTATCTGAGCGAGTGTGTGTGTGTGTGTAAGTTTATGCTTGAGGATCTTTATGCTATTCCTACTCCTGTCCCCCTGTTTATATTCTAGGAACCAGTGCTAGTTCTGATGAGCAACTCTAGGCTAAACCACAGCCATAGTTTAGAAGCTATGCAATCGCAGACTACTCTGCAGCTTTTGCTTTTTGTTAATAACCTATTTTAAAGTTCAGCAGACTGGCATCTCTTTTGATGCTGATTACACTCCTTCTAGAACTCCACTCCAAGTTCAGCGTCAGCAAATCCCGGTCTGACAGTAAGTTAGATTTCTCAGTTTGCCAGTGCACTGCCTTTCAGAGGCAGGCTCAACCCCAAAGTCGCTGCCGTGGCAGAGCCCACACCACGCCTTTCAGACCGCAGTGACAGATGGTTTTGCTTAAAGGCAATCCCTGTGAGATAGTTGGGCTACCCAGGCAGCCGCGTGGGCATGCTTCGGGCATGCAGCCAGCAATCACATGCTATTCACGTATTTCACATCCATAACCACACCCGCATATAGTTGAAGCACTGTCTGGTCTTCAGAGGCCTTTTTGTAACTTTATATTCAATGAAAACAGCCCCTGGTGGTTAATTTTGCTGCTTCTGGCCCCTTTCAGGAAAATAGGTTTGACACATAGACTGTATTTTTCAAAGTGAGAGAAAATGGAATTGAAAAGAGTATTTTCTAATGAATTAATTACAATGATTTTTGAGTCCAACATTAGAAGAAATGTAATTCCTCCTAGAATGCAACTGTACACATACTGCTCAATTATGTATAATAACTATTTTTATTCCAAAAAGGATTTGAAGAGGCTTCCAAAAAAATGAATGACATTAACAACTCTGGATATTGGGCAGAAACTGGGCATAGCTGATGGATTTCACTTCCTTTTGGCTGTGGCTGTTCATTTTCCCTCATGAGGTATAAGAAAAGAGGAAGGGAGACTGGCCAGGGGAAAATGACACCAAATCTGGGAATACCCTCCTTCAAATCACAGACCTACAGGGAAACAGACAGGGCACCACACATTATTCAGGCTGTTCTCAAACGTTTAACTGTTTCACATAAATATCAAGTTAAACACATTTTAGTAAGGTGGGTAAACATATTTGCCCATATCCCAAATTACCCCAAATCAGATTCTCCACTGTACAGGAAGCAGACAGTGTCTTCTACCACCGCCTGCTTCACAAGGTTTACTCCTTAATAGCGGGACTCGTCCTCTGTTCTTGGCTCTGAGCGGTTAGGACAGACAGTGTTTTCAAACAAAAGGCATTTCCAGGAACTCTTCTGTCTGAGGAAGGATGAACACATGTTTCTCTTAGTTGGGGAGCGTGGGAGGGAGGGAGGCAAAGGTGTGGGGGACTTTGGTATCTTCTCTTCTTAACCCAGTACCCGGTGGGTATTCTCCCAGGCCATTCACTGGGACAACAAAATGACCAGAAAACAACACTTTAACAAAGTTTCTGGCCAGGTGCCATGGATCATGCCTGCAATCCCAGCACTTTGGGTGGCCAAGGTGGGCAAATCACGAGGTCAGGAGTTCAAGACCAGTCTGACCAACATGGTGAAACCCCATCTCAACTAAAATAACAATAATTAACCGGGCGCTGTGGCACATACCTGTAATCCCAGCTACTCAGGAGGCTGAGGCAGGAGAATCGCTTGAACCCGGGAGACAGGTTGTAGTGAGCTGAGATCATGCCACTGCACTCCAGCCTGGGCGACAGAGTGAGACTCTTGCTGATCAAAAAAAAAGTTTCTAGACAACATGTTATGAACAAGCACACTTTCTAAGGAAATGAAACTTCTGAATGCATTGGTAACTTTACTGGTGATCTGGAAGTTGTCTTTTTTTTTCAGTTTGCTAATTATAAATCCAGATGCAAAACCAATGGCTACCCAATTAAGCAGTTGCTTTTTACATGTAGTTTTTAAGTTTGAATTTTTTAAAAATATATTTATCCAACTGTAATAAAAATATATTCTGTAAGTGTAACAAAAATATATTCTTTCCCTGTAAAAGTTCCTCTTTGCCCACATTTTTCCATGCTTTCTTCACTCATTCCTTCAACATATTTTTATTACCAGGTAGCAAATAGAGTAAGAGCAGCATCAATATGAGCAGAGAATTCTTCTGTACTCTGTTTCTTAAATTAAGATAAACAGGCCATGTGTGGTGGCTCATGCCTGTAATCCCAGCACTTTGAGAAGCCAAAGAGAGTAGATCGCCTGAGGTCAGGAGTTCAAGACCAGCCTGGCCAACATGGTGAAATCCCCATCTCTACTAAAAATACAAAAATTAGCTGGGGGTGGTCATGGGCACCTAAAATCCCAGCTACTCGGGAGGCTGAGGCAGGAGAAGTGCTTGAACCCTGGGAGGCAGAGGTTGCAGTGAGCCAAGATCGTGTCAACACACTCCAACCTGGGTGACAGAGCAAGACTCTGTCTCAAAAAAAAAAAAAAAGATAAGCAAGTACTCAGTGCTTTGGGAAGTAACTAAGTGGTCAGGGTTTCTATTATCTTTTTCAAATTTAGATTTATTAGTCTAAGAGATCATTAATCATCAGTCCTTTAGGGACTGCGGGAAAGGAAACACGATATTCTAGAAACTGAAATATCTGGTACCACTGATAAGTTCACACATCAATTTTTAATTCCACCACAGTTTTATTTCCAAGTAGAAGAAGTTTTTATAGGTTGGTGCAAAAGTAACCTATATAGTTACTGAGGTCTGCACAGTGTCGCCTAACACTTAGTAAGTGGCCATGGCCTCTATCCCTTCTAGAGAATGCTACCTGGAAAATAAGGTTTGGGGTCACACCTAGACATCAGACCATTTGTTATTTTCCCCATTTTCTCACCTTTTTTTTTTTCAATCTTGCCCTGTCACTCAGGCTGGAATGCAGTGGCATGATATCGGCTCACTGCAACCTCCGCCTCCCAGTGATTCTCATGCCTCAGCCTCCCAGCTAGCTGGGATTACAGGCATGCACCACCACACCTGGATAATTTTAGTATTTTTAGTAGAGTCAGGGTTTCATTGTGTTGGCCAGGCTGCTCTCAAACTCCCAAGCTCCAGTGATCCGTCTGCTTCAGCCTCCCAAAGTGCTGGGATTACAGGCATGAGCCACTGCTCCCTGCCTCACCCATTTAAAAGGAAACTTTCTCCATGGTAATGAGCTCACTTACGGATTGAGTTCATAATACTAAAAACATTTTTTTAGAGATAAGTTCTCCCTGTGTTGCCCAGACTGGAGTGCGATGGTTATTTCCAGACCTGTTGAGAGTGCACTGTGGCCTCAAACACCTGGCCTCAAACAATCCTCCTTCCTCAGACTCCTGAGTAACCGGGACTACAGACTTGCACCACCAAACCCAGGTGAGTTCACGATTTGAAAGGCACTGGCTTTAGACCTTTCTAGTAAATTTTAAATGGCACATTGGATTTGCTGTAGCAGATGATTCATGTTCTTCTTATAAAATTCACTTACAACTTTCTTGCGCTGGATTTTAGTCAGACTATAGACTGAGAGAAAAAAATCATCAAGGAGAGAACCGATGGATATGTAACTTTATGAACAGGAATGTCCCCAACTCCCAATTTCATTCTTCTGATACAAAGAATTATCACCATGCAGCATCATTCTGCTGTAGGAATTGCTGCTGGAATATGCAAATTATTTTAAGCAGCCATGAGCATTGTGTCTGAAAGGCAAGTAGAGATAGGGAAACACAATCAAGTCTAACAATAGACTGAGAGGAACCACGTCTGACCACAGGGGTAAAGATGAAAATCGCCGTTTCATTCTTTATTGCTGCAGTTCAGTTTGCATCTTGAGCACCCTGGTGGCCCAGCAGCCAGGCGGGGTTCATTTTCGTGTGTCTTCCCAGGCCTTCCCCTTCAGCCTCTGCAAAGCCAGCCACACAGAGAGGAGGCAGAAGCGGCCTTGCAGGGGAGCAATTCAGAAACAGCCACATCTCTTTAAGGAAAACGGAGGTTTCAAGATTACTTTCTATTTTTTATCACTTCTCTAATATATGCACACTGTATTTGCATAACATCTATTTGCACTGGGAGCCCATCCCTGGCTTCCTGAAAGATACAGGAGGGCATTTGAATATGTGTTTTATTCCCGGTGATGTCTGAGAGTTCAGCCTCTAATCTCATTACCAGCTAGTATGCTTCCAGTGAGTTACTCTATGGTCTTTAGAATTGTACCTCCAATCTGTAAGCCTAACAATTGTACTTTCATTGTGGAAAGATGTTAAATAAAAGATTGCTTTCAGTGAGAATTAAATCAAAGGTCTCAGCATGTGCAGCTCCCAACCCCCCACCTAGCATCTTTGCTTACTTCATGGAGGTTGGCAACATAAAACCCCCTTTCTCTAGCGCACTCATCTTCCCCGAGAAAATCTTGCAGAAACTATGTTAAAAACACAGCATTGTCTAGCCTTATTCACTAAATGCTCTAACTTAACCACCTCAAAGAATAATAATTTCCAGGCTTAGAGAGAATGTTTAATTATTGAAGGACCAGCCAAGTAAAATGACATGGGATCCCAGACTGGTGGGATTTATGAAGAAATTGTTCATCCCTAAAAGAAAAGGAAAGTTTCACAAAATATAATCATTTCACTAAGACAGGTCAAAGACAGCCCAAATCATTCTTCAGAACCATTCTCTGCCTCTTTGGGGGTTCTCAGTTTATGTTTAGCTGCTTTGGGTTTAAATGCTTTGCCTAGATGATTTTATTTAATCCTTACAGCAATCTGAGAACATTGATTTTTTTTTAAATCCCCATTATAAAGACAAGGAACCTGAGGTCAGTAACTTTCCCAAGGTTACATAACAGGAGGCACATCAGAGATAAGTATTTGGGTCTACTGCATTCCGTCTTTAAGCCTCACCAAATCCGCCGTTCATCCCTTTTGGCTCTTCCTGCCTTTACCCCAGCTTTCTAGGATCTTCCAGGGTAGGACTACACTCAGATCTGACCTCCTTCTACTCAGCCCGTTCCTCCCCCTGCCAACAAGCATGATATTCTGGCTTCTTTCTGCCCCGGGGACCTGCTTTCTAACAAGATGGGTGTTTCCCACATCAGGTTCATCATCAGAATCATCTGGGGTGCTTATTAAAAACAGAGGGGGCCTGGCATTTCTCTTGGATGCTCTGTTTTCTGGTTTTGGGTGGGAACCCAAAGTCTCTGTTTAACAAGTTACTGCATGAGTCCAATAACCGAGTTAAAGAAAAGAAGCTGTTAGGAGGCTGAGGCAGGTGGATCACGAGGTCAGGAACATAAGACCAGCCTGGCCAACATGGTGAAACCCCATCTCTACTAAAAATACAAAAGTTAGCTGGGCACGGTGGCAGGCACCTGTAATTCCAGCTACTCGGGAGGCTAAGGCAGGAAAATCACTTGAACCTGGGAGGTGGAGGTTGCAGTGAGCTGAGATCGCACCATTGCACCCCAGACAGCGAGACTCCATCTCAAAAAAAAAAAGAAAAGAAAAAAGAAAAAGATGCTGTTTCCCAAAAGTATTTGGCCTACAAACCTCTTTCACATAATGTATAATATGAAAATCACCTTTAAAATAAAAATGTATTATTTTTACATGCCATTGAGCACACAGTATCTTAATGTTAGTGTCTTATTTTAGATCACTATGTTGAAGGATGTTTTACAAAGTGTTTTGAATGTAATATTAATGATGACCCTGATTTGTTTGATGCATTCTCTCCTTTCTCATTTAATGGGTGGCTTGTGCTATTTAACATGCTTTAATTTTATGTGAGTGTGAGCCTGAGTAACAGGAAGATTCTCCAAAGACAACGAGTTTATTTAGGAATGGGCATCACAGTGCTGAATATGTGTGCCATAGCAAACTATGGGCATATTGAGGGAGGCATGGGAAGACAAGTGTTTTTAAAGGTAAAATGAGGAGGGTTACATAAGTTGTGTTGAAACAATTATCCTTGGTTACGCGGATCAATAACAAGTGTGGCATCAGTCCAAGGCAGTTGCTGGGCAGACTTTCTTGCAGAAATATTTTTGTGTATTTTTGCAGTGGTCTGGTTTGGGCAGAGTTTTCTGTGTCTTACTCAGCTCCATTTTGTCAACGTTTGACCCAAGTGACTCCATTTTGATTCTGACAAATTTCACCTTATTTTTTCTTTTTTCTTTTTTCTTTTTTTTTGAGACAGAGTCTCACTCTGTCACCCAGGCTGGAGTACAGTGGTGCGATCTCAGTTCACTGCAACCTCCACCTCCTGGCTTCAAGACATTCTCCCACCTCAGCCTCCTGAGTAGCTGGGACTATAGGCACATGCCACCACACCCAGCTAATTTAATATTTTTTAGCAGAGATGGGGTTTCATCATGTTGGCCAGGCTGGTCTCAAACTCCTGACCTCAAGTGATCCAAGTGCTGGGATTACAGGTATGAGCCACTGTGCCCAGCTTCATTTTTTTTTTTTTTAAAGACAGGATCTGGTTCTGTCATCCAGGCTAGAGTACAGTGGCGCGAGCATAGCTCACTGCAGCCTGAAACTCCTGAGCTCAAGTGATCCTCCTGCCTCAGCCTCCTGAGTAGCTACAACCACATCTGGCTAATGTTTTGTTTTCAATTTTTTGTAGTCTCGCTATGTTGCCCAGGCTGGTCGCCAACTCCTAGGCTCAAGTGATCCTTCCACCTTTGCATCCCAAAGTGCTGGGATTCAGGCGTGAGCCACCATGCCTCACTTTCACATGAGAAAGCACAATTTATTGACAAACCATT